GTACGCATATCACGCTGCGCCTTGGTCCAATCATTATGACGATCGCGACATTATGGGTTATTGTGTGTGGATTGATGAGGAAAAAAATCTATTTAATCAATTTTAGAATAAGGCTGTAACGTAACAAAATGTGGAAAAAGTAAACGGGTCTGAATACTTTCCGAATGCATTGTAAGCTTTTGTTCCAGCGCAGCTTATCGCGATGATTCGTTATGTTGATTATTTAAGTCAGGTGTTAGAGCTGGGCTGGGACCAAACCCTTCACACACTCTTGCTCTTCAGGACTTCCTGCAATGACTGAAACAGACCAAAGCAAAAGAATAGTGTTCCAGGTTGAAACAGCTTACCTAGTTAAGAGGTAATAAGACTCAGGCACACCCATTGGTTCTGGAATAGAAAAGGTGCAAATAAGGTTTGCAATTTGACATCAATAACATGACATTAATTTTACCAGAAAACGAACAAGCGTGTGAATACCAATTAATTTAAAACCCACCATAGCAGGTAGGACTAAATAACGTTACATAACCTTGCCTACTAGCTATACTAATGATTTGCTGTCCAGAGGGTAACAGCAAACAGATCTCTTCTTGTAGTAAAGTAAGCACACTGTTGACTCAAGAGAGGATGATAATCAATCAGTCCATCTCTGAAACCTCTCAAACCTCCCCATAGGGGGCCAGTATAAAAAAAGATGTATTCACTAACTGTAAGTCACTCTGGATAAGAGCGTCTGCTAAATGACTAAAATGTAAAAATGTAAATGTAAAAAGCCAGACCAAAATAATACAGCTAGCTAGGGCAGCCACAATTCAAGTAGTACTTGAAGTAGGCTACCCACCCCTCACCCCTCACCCACAGACACAAACAAACATTATCAAGAACGCCTAGCTTCACCATCTAAGTTAGTTAACTACAAATTGATAAAATCAAAGATTATGGATATACTGACAAGATACACGTCTCTCCACCCTAACAATGAGAGCCGTTGTCCACAAAGCGGCATGGTGGGCTATCTAGCTCCCACCTATCCTTTCTTTGGATTGGTGGACACATCTCATTATTGTAATCGTTTTTTTGAATATTCAATGACGGTTGTCAACCGCCAGTATTCAATGGAGAGAAATGCTATGCCACTAGCCTCATGACATGAATATGCATAGCCATTTCGAGACAACTGCAACATAAAGTGGTTTTTTCTCAAAGATGCTGGGATGTCACATGTCCTACTTATATTTACATTTTAGTCATTTAGCAGACGCTCTTATCCAGAGCGACATACAGTTAGTGAATACATTTTTTTTTTGTATACTGGCCCCCCGTGGGAATCAAACCCACAACCCTGGCGTTGCAAACGCCATGCTCTATCAACTGAGCTACATCCCTACCGGCCATTCCCTCCCCTACCCTGGACGACACTGGTCCAATTGTGCACCGCCCATGAGTCTCCCGGTCGCGGCCGGCTGCGACAGAGCCTGGATTTCGAACCAGGATCTCTAGTGGCACAGTTAGCACTGCGATGCAGTGCCTTAGACCACTGCGCCACTCAGGAGTATATCTCAGGAGTATATCAGTGCACTCGTAACAATTTAAGCATTACCAAACTTGTATTAGATCAAATAAACCTAATTCAACACTCTGTCATTGACCTCCATACAAAAACTCCTTGCTTGGTGGGCAAAACAACGGAAAAACGACCACCTCTTGAGACAAATTTTCCGCTGAGTTGGGCCTCTCTCTTCCTCTATGATAAAAGTCACCTTGTCTGAGAGAGATTTACACAGTTATCAAAACGTCACGTCAGGGTAAGCCTACACGAAATTTGAAGTGTTTCTAAAATCCCATATTTGAAAAATGAATTGTGAAAAAAGAGGTGTTTGACCGCTAGGTTTTATGAATATTATGACATACTGTGGTACTCTATTCAAATCCTGATTGTGGTACTTACACTGTAGATACAACATTATTACATTATTTACAGTGGCTGATGGAATTTTACAGTATGGCAGAAGCTGCTATCCACATGCTGCTACAGTACATTATATATATTTAATTTGATGACATATTCAAAAGGTCTGAGTCTTAAATAGGACTAGAGTGCCATCTGCATGCACCATTGACAGTGGCCGTGTTCCAGAGCATCAAGACCATGATGTAGCATGGGTAAATTGTGACTGACTGACTGATCTACAAAAAGAATGAGTAGTTATTTAGGATGCAAGCCAGGTGATTTGTAGATCAGTCAGTCTCGACTCGCCTTTAAAGTCAGCTGCAATAGAGCTTGCCAGCTTGTAGTCCTAAAATGGGCTACCACTGGTTTGTTCAGCCATCCCAATGGGAAACATTAATGGCAAAAGAATAGGGTTTTGGAATAAACACCTGAAAATAAGGTCTGAGATTAACACAGGTTTAGGAGATGTTATACGTTTTGTTCTACAAGATAATAGCAGTCAGTTAACATGACCTTTATGAATTATGCAGCCTTTATGTGCTTTATGTGTTTTTTTAATTACATACATTCTTCAAAATTCACAAAAAGTTTGGTTAGTTGATGAAGATTATCTCATAGAACAAAACGTCTAATATCTCCTAAACCTGTGTTTACCACAGACCTTATAGAGAGAAATAGTAATGGCGTCTTTTCGTAGGCACTAACTCCGCAATGGTTCGTTGGACAAAGCCTATGAGGAAAATGAATGGCGTTTTTGTAGGGTTTTTGGATAAACGCTGAAAATAAGGTCTGTGGTACACACAGGTTTAGGAGATCTGATAGATTTTGTTCTATGAGATCATCTTCATCAGCTAATGCCACTTTTTGTGAATTTCGAAGAATTTATGTAATAATAAAAAACACATAAATCACATAAAGGCTTCATAATTCATAAAGTTCATGTTAACTGACTGCTGTTATCTCATAGAACAAAACGTATAAGATCTCCTAAACCTGTGTTAACCTCAGACCTAATTTTCGCGTTTATTCCAAAATCATATTATTTCACCATTCATTTTTCCCATACGATGGCTAAACCAAAGATGGTTTAGTATGAAGATATGTAGAAACTGCTTCTCCAATAGAAATTCCTGATCACGCTTGTAGGCGATGTCATGGCGACGTTGGCTTGCTAAACTCATGGGCAGAAACACGTCATCGGGTCTAACGGTCGTCTCGCGCCGAACTGCGCATGTGCAGGCCGTCAAATCAAAGACACTCCTATTGAAAGTTTATTTTGCCGAAAATAAAAACTTGTCAGTTTGTCACTTTCACGAGGATAGAGTAATAAGATGTTCAGCTACTTAAGGCGTTGGCTCTAATCTAGGTTGTGCCTTTAGATTTCAAGAAAATTAACAACTAAGGAAGAATTGTCTACTTCTCTCATTCACTTCTCAAACCTCGGTCTGGTCTTCCGAGTATGCGTCGCAAGCGTTCCCGGAAGTCTGGGTTTAGAAAATGTGGCTGAACGAACATGAGGTAACTCATTTCCGGGTTTTAGGACTACAACAAAGATTTTTATAACTAACCCAAGACAAACCACAGCCTGTCGTTTCCAATTGGAACAAATGAGTCATAGTGGGCAGAACAAGCAAGGAAGGGGGGCAGAGCCAAGCACGAGCTAGCCTCACTGCCTTTCCATTTCATATTCGTACTGCCCCCGTAGCTAAACTACGCCCCTAACAGGATATACGCGTTAGTTACAGGTCAGGTAGTGACAAAATAACAATTAAAATCAATAAATCATGTGTCTAAAATTACTTGTCATTTGAAATAATGTGTTGACACAACAGCGGCAAATCAAAGTATACTGGTTATGAAACGGGCTCCAAAACGTTTAATTCCAGAGGAGGGCACCATTTTGAAGTACGGTTGGAAACAATGGAGCTCGCAAGCTTGTAGTCACAGATTGAATAATGAGCCAGATATTTCACCGGATGTATAAGTGTGAAGGATCCGGTTGGCGTTTCCACTCACTACCAAATATGGCGATGAGAGAAAGCCTAGTCGCCGGCAAATGGAGAAGATGGAGCGAGATGGATTTTGGCCGACATTTTGCTCACTGATGAAACGCGTTTGATCTCAATACAGTTTTCTGTTGCCAAAACTAAAATCTGTTACAAAAAGAGTGGACTAAGTTTAGTAAATTTTACCATTTGACAAAGTAAAAAAAAAAATTGCGTTGTTTTGAAGGAGTGCAAGGGCGATTTGCGTTATTGCACACGCGCACTTCAGAGTAGGCGTTCCCTGACGAATATATGCAAATATATGGCTAGAACGCGCCAATAGGATCGCTCTTTGTTAGACCAATCGAAAGAGAGAGGGGCGGGATAAATCCATAAGACACTGTTTGCTGCCGGGGAAACTCAGTTTTGGGGTTGTGCAGAATTTTGCCGGGCGGGAACTCCCGCCATTTTTTCAACCCAGGCGTAAACCTCTTGCATATTTCAATGAAGTTATTACAACCCTTTACTATCATTGTAACAACTTCAACTTTCAAGGACGGAAACTGCGAGTCAAAAAAATTAGCTCCGTGAGAAGAGGCCTAGTCTTTGGAGACCGGAGTGTAGAGAGCGCGCCAGACCCCCAGACGGGAACCTCCGCTGTTGCGGCAAGTTTGAGAATCCTGTCAGCTCGCCTCTCCATCCTCCTTTCGGACAAGCTTGCAGAAGTTTTTCTGGATATCCTACCCGAAGAGTCCATTATAATTGCACATTTTTAAACAGCTGTTTTTGACAAGTTCGAGTTGATAAACAATGACACAACTACCGGCGAACAGAACAAGGATGTGCTTTTGACTGCTAGCAAGAAGTGCTGTGTTATTGTTTTGCAGCGAGGATTTAGCCGACTTGCTAGGTCAGCTAGCTAACTTAGAGGCTACACGTTGAATGCTCCTGGAATATCTTTTGGATACTTGACTACATGCTAAGGCCATATTGTCATATTTTGCGTAGTTTTGTGCTAGGACTTTTATTCTTGAAGACGTCAATCGCTGCCGTTTCGTACTCAGGATGGCACCACTGCTGGGCCGGAAACCCTACCCGCTGGTTAAGCCGCTAGCCGAGCCGCCAGGCCCAGAGGAGGAGGTCTACATCATCGAACACACCAAGGAGGCCTTCAGGAACAAAGAGTATCCTTTCACATTATGGCAAAGCTGACTCAGTTCGCCAGATAGCTAGCTGACTGTCAAAGCACAACCATTATGCACACTAATTGGAACATCGTGTTTTCAATGTTATTCCGCTTCTGAAGCTTAATAATAGCGAAATAGCTAGCTATGTCGGATTTGTTGTGCTTCTTTGGGATTGTTTTGCCTATCGTAATAAGCGCACACAGTCACTCACTATGTTTCGTAGCCAAAGTTGTGCTCTCTTTTTTAAACTAGCTAGACAAACAGAACAGCAGCTAACTACTATTTATTTGAAAATTGCACAATCCAGCAATCTATCTAGCTGATTTATGCATAACTGGTTTGGGTGATTCTCACGGTCTCTGCGTTTGTCATGCCGCCTCGGTGGCGCGTTTCCTAACATAGCTAGCTAACTTTACAGAGTAGATTGAAGAGCACACCGCTAAGGAAGGACAGATAACGTCACAGATTACACCACGTCAGTTCTTCTGACACTAGCTCATGATCAAATCGGTCGGATTTAACTTGCAGATCAAACTGGCAAGTTTGACTTGTTGGAAATACAACGGTTGTAATATGACTTGTAAGGAAAGGCAAACGTGTTCGTGACATGAATCACTTTCCAATCAAGTGTAGCCTATGCATGGCCGCCTGGCATGCCAGATTGATATAAAAAAGGCATCGTTCAGGTTGCTTAGCTGTGTAATAACAATGCAGTTCAATGCATTGTTTTGAGGTCCCCTGGCCCTACTACCAATAGATACAGAAGTGTTTTGGTGCCCCACGTGAGTTTGACATAATGTATTGCTCCTTGAGGCTGCATAACTCACTAGGCCATCATCCCCACTTTTTGTCTCTAGTCTAAAGGTACAGTACAATAACCATATCTGATATGCAGAAAATTATGAGCCACCTGTAAGCAAACCTAAATACTACTACTATCCCAGTGCAAAGCATCATCAACCCAAAACGTTTGTGCTCTGCATTTTGTCAATCAGTACATTATAATGAGTAAAGTTTGTACTGCTTAACATCTAGCCTATAGCCATTGGGTTTATAGATGCCAAAGTCCTACTGATATCAGGACGTGACTTAACACATTGCTTAGTCCCTACAGAGAGGAACACTGTGAGATTTAGTTTCAGCTGGAGCACACTGGGGATTATCCTGCACTTTGGCTCTGTTATGAAAGGATCCAGAATCTATGCTTGGTGTGGGATGTCCCTCACACCCGGCCTTTTAATAATTGAAATCAATTGCTGCTAACCTGATTTATTCATTAATTATGAATGGGGGGTCTCTCTGGGTATGCCGTAGAGCTAACTGAGTCAAGTGACTAAGTGGCTGTGCCTATCCTGTATCCAAGTACTCACACTATGAGACTGTATGATCATTTGAGGGGAATACATGTTGTTATCCTGATGAAATGGCTACAGAGAGTATGAGGCGCGCCTGCAGAGATACGCCGAACGCATCTGGACATGCAAGAGCACCGGCAGCAACCAGCTCACACACAAGGAGGCCTGGGAGGAGGAGCAAGAAGTCACTGAACTGTGAGGAACAAAAATGCTCTGTTTCAAAATAAATATAAATCATCATTACATACAGAGGCTAAAAAGATCAGTGCAGCTCCATCTGTAGCACACACAGCTCACTGACTCCCGTTGAAGGTCACATGATTCACAGCTGTGTTATTGGATGTTCCCCGCGCGCCTCCTTCTTTTCTATTTGCAGGACGTATGGATTGAGTCATCCTGGAATCTAGTGAATCCAGTGACTGGGAGAATGCCTTCATTTTATTTCATGAATAGAGGAGGGTGCAAAATAAGTGTGTGGCCTGGTCCAAAAACAACCCCTAGCACCCCCAACCCCTAGGCTCTTGTGTACATCTGAAGGGATTGGATTAGGGATTGTTTATAGACAAGGTCTAGGTTCTCTCATTTGATACGTTTCAGTATAGCGTGTCCAGATTGGCTGCTGTGGTATTGAGTGCTGCGCTGTGGGAGGGCATGAAGCTTTGTGAGTTCCGTGTGTACACGAATGACCTCAGAGTAGTGCCACAGACAGGCTGTGCTCCTCCTGCACCCTCAGCGCAGGCCAGGCAGGATCAGCAGCCGTATTTAAAGATGTCTATTTATACCAGGCAGGGAAGCCATGGTTTGAATTGGCTCCCCCTGCTGGAGAAGTGGTTATGTACACTGTACAGATAGGATAAGCATTGGTGGTCCAAGCAGTCTGTGTTGCATTGAGGCATGTCCATTTGTATGTATTCCTCAGCTCGGACTGCTGCATGCATGTTTATGAATTACGGAAAGCATTTGCAGGTGACTCGATTTAGTGTGAATAGTGAAAATAGCAATAGCTACAATAAGCCACCATCTGTCAAAATTAGTTGAGTGAAAGTGCACCAATAAACCCTAATCAGTTAGTATAAGAAGACTGTTTATTGCTTGGTATTTTCTATTGAGTGTTATAAACTGGGTGGTTCGAGCCCTGAATGCTGATTGGCTGACAGCCGTGGTATATCAGACTGTATACCATGGGTATGACAAAACATGTATTTTTACTGCTCAAATTACGTTGGTTAACCAGTTTATAATCGCAATAAGGCACCTCAGGGGTTTGTGGTATATAGCCAATATACCACGCCTAAGGGCTGTTTCCAGGCACTCTGCGTTGCGTCATGCATAAGAACAGCCCTGAGCCGTGGTATTTTGGCCATATACCACACCCCCTCATGCTTTATTGCTTAATTAGATAAATGAGATGTTTGACATGAGTGATTTATGTCCAGGCTTCAGGAAGAGTACCCACTATGGTTCGAGAAGCCCGTCCTGGAGATGGTTCATCACAACACGGTCTCCCTGGACAAGCTGGTGGACCAGGCCTGGGTGGAGATCCTCACTAAGTACGCCGTAGACGAAGAGTGTGACTTTCTGGTGAGATTCTTTTATTTTGGTCGAATGCTGTGAATGTTTGTTTTCATGTGGTGAGATAGTAGTCAATGAAGGTGGAAGAAATACTGTTAATGGAAAATATGTTGATAGAAAATGAAATCAAATTGTATTTGTCACATGCGCCAAATACAACAGGTGTAGACCTTACAGTGAAACGCTTACTTACAAGCCCTTAACCAACAATGCAGTTTTAAGAAAAATAAGTGTAAAGTAGAAAATAGATAACTTAAAAATAACAAATAATGAAAGAGCAGCAGTAAAATAACAGTAGTGAGGCTATATACAGGGGGTACCGGTACAGAGTCAATGTGAGGGGTCACAGGTTAGTTGAGGTAATATGTACATGTACGTAAAGTGACTATGCATAGATGATAAACAGAGAGTGGCAGCAGCGTGAAAGAGGGGGTGGGGGACAATGCAAATAGTCCGGGTAGCCATTTGATTAGCTGTTCAGGAGTCTTATGGCTTGGGGGTAGAAGCTGTTAAGAAGCCTTTTGGACCTAGAGATGGTGCTCCGGTACCGCTTGCCATGCGGTAGCAGAGAGAACAGTCTGACTAGGGTGGCTGGAGTCTTTGACCATCTTTAGGGCCTTCCTCTGACACCGCCTGGTATAGAGGTCCAGGATGGCAGGAAGCTTGGCCCCAATGATGTACTGGGCCGTACGCACTACCCTCTGTAGTTCCTTGCGGTCGGAGGCCGAGCAGTTGCCATACCAGGCAGTGATGCAACCAGTCAGGATGCTCTCGATGGTGCAGCTGTAGAACATTTTGAGGATCTGAAGACGCATGCCAAATATTTTCAGTCTCCTGAGAGGGAATAGGCTTTGTCGTGCCCTCTTCACGACTGTCTTGGAATTGTACATATTTTACAAATTTTTGCACATGCTTGATCTGAAATATATTTTTACCCCCCTTCCCCAATTCATTTTTGGGATTTTTAGGTGGGGAAGGAAAAGAGTTTGCGGGTTAAGGTCGTGAAGATACACCGTCTTGAGGGGAACGATGAGGGGGAGACGTCGGAGAAGAAGCTAGAGGGAGCCTGCGACTCTCCTTCCAGCGACAAGGAGAATGCCAGCCAGGAGAACCAGAAGAAGGAACAACAGCTGCCCAGAGAGGAGGAGAGCCCCAGGGAAAGCAGGAGAGAGAGCCTCAGTGAGTACAGCACCTTTTGGGACATGTTGTGCTAACAAATAAAAGTATTAGATTTTGGGTAACCTACACCAAAATCCATAACACAGTAGAGGCGTGTCAACTTTTAAAAGAAATTGTGATCCTTAACGTTAAGAAAAATCCCTAATAATTTTTTGTTTTTTCCCACACACTTTTAATTACAGTGCAGTTATCACAAAACATTATTTTCTGTGTTATAGCCTTAACTAGACAATAGGCTATAAAAGCCTGGGGAAAGTTGTGTAATTTAAAGGAAGACTCAGCCAGTGGTGATTTTAGCATGTAAATCTTGGTGGGGCAAACTCAACAACAAAAAATGTAGATGCGTGCCAGACCATGTTTGTATGCAGCTTTATTAACTCAATGATAAAAATAAATACAAAATTGCATTGTTTGCAAACTATGTGACTATGTGACAAAATAACATGCAAAACAGGTAACATACAGTGGGGAAAAAAAGTATTTAGTCAGCCACCAATTGTGCAAGTTCTCCCACTTAAAAAGATGGAGGCCTGTAATTTTCATCATAGGTTTACACGTCAACTATGACAGACAAATTGAGAAAAGAAATCCAGAAAATCACATTGTAGGATTTTATGAATTTAATTTTCAAATTCTGGTGGAAAATAAGTATTTGGTCACCTACAAACAAGCAAGATTTCTGGCTCTCACAGACCTGTAACTTCTTCTTTAAGAGGCTCCTCTGTCCTCCACTCGTTACCTGTATTAATGGCACCTGTTTGAACTTGTTATTAGTATAAAAGACACCTGTCCACAACCTCAAACAGTCACACTCCAAACTCCACTATGGCCAAGACCAAAGAGCTGTCAAAGGAAACCAGAAACAAAATTGTAGACCTGCACCAGGCTGGGAAGACTGAATCTGCAATAGGTAAGCAGCTTGGTTTGAAGAAATCAACTGTGGGAGCAATTATTAGGAAATGGAAGACATACAAGACCACTGATAATCTCCCTCGATCTGGGGCTCCACGCAAGATCTCACCCCGTGGGGTCAAAATGATCAAGAACGGTGAGCAAAAATCCCAGAACCACACGGGGGGACCTAGTGAATGACCTGCAGAGAGCTGGGACCAAAGTAACAAAGCCTACCATCAGTAACACACTACGCCGCCAGGGACTCAAATCCTGCAGTGCCAGACGTGTCCCCCTGCTTAAGCCAGTACATGTCCAGGCCCGTCTGAAGTTTGCTAGAGTGCATTTGGATGATCCAGAAGAGGATTGGGAGAATGTCATATGGTCAGATGAAACCAAAATAGAACTTTTTGGTAAAAACTCAACTCGCCGTGTTTGGAGGACAAAGAATGCTGAGTTGCATCCAAAGAACACCATACCTACTGTGAAGCATGGGGGTGGAAACATCATGCTTTGGGGCTGTTTTTCTGCAAAGGGACCAGGACGACTGATCCGTGTAAAGGAAAGAATGAATGGGGCCATGTATCGTGAGATTTTGAGTGAAAACCTCCTTCCATCAGCAAGGGCATTGAAGATGAAACGTGGCTGGGTCTTTCAGCATGACAATGATCCCAAACACACCGCCCGGGCAACGAAGGAGTGGCTTCGTAAGAAGCATTTCAAGGTCCTGAATTGGCCTAGCCAGTCTCCAGATCTCAACCCCATAGAAAATCTTTGGAGGGATTTGAAATCAGTGTTGGCCAGCGACAGCCCCAAAACATCACCGCTCTAGAGGAGATCTGTATGGAGGAATGGGCCAAAATACCAGCAACAGTGTGTGAAAACCTTGTGAAGACTTACAGAAAACGTTTGACCTGTGTCATTGCCAACAAAGGGTATATAACAAAGTATTGAGAAACTTTTGTTATTGACCAAACACTTATTTTTCACCATAATTTGCAAATAAATTCATAAAAAATCCTACAATGTGATTTTCTGGATTTTTATTTCTCATTTTGTCTGTCATAGTTGACGTGTACCTATGATGAAAATTACAGGCCTCTCTCATCATTTTAAGTGGGAGAACTTGCACAATTGGTGTCTGACTAAATACTTTTTTCCCCCACTGTATAGCTAATATATACAGTACCAGTCAAAAGTTAGGACACCTACTCCTTCAAGGGTTTTTCTTTATTTTTTAAAAATGTTCTACATTGTAGAATAATAGTGAAGACATCAAAACTATGAAATAACACATATGGAATCATATAGTAACCAAAGAAGTGTTAAACAAATCAAAATATATTTTATATTTGAGATTCTTCAAAGTAGCCACCCTTTTGCCTTGCTGACAGCTTTGCACACTCTTGGCCCACCTGCCCTGAATGACAGGTCGCCACTGGACTCAGCGATATGAAGTAGATGTGTAAAGTAAACAGCATAGTGGGTCAAATTACGCAACAACTAAGAGCATTAAAGCGCAAGGCTCTGCTTCTCCGCTGGCCTCGGAAGTACGGCAACTAATCAGTCTCCTCCGTTTCAAAAATACCAAATCTTAGACACTCCGAAATGGGAGTAGAGGAATCAATTATTTTGGAGTCGACTCGCCACAGCGAAGTCATCGTCGTTAAGTTGGGGGAAAATGGCAAGCGACAGCAGCGTAGTCTTGTATGGCAATACTTTGAGGAGTTAAATGAGATGGAAATGTAAACTTTGCGAGGTGGAATTGAGGTACAGTAATGGTAGTACAGTCGTGGTCAAAAGTTTTGAGAATGACACAAGTATTGGTCTTCACAAAGTTTGCTGCTTCAGTGTTTTTATATATTTTTGTCAGATGTTACTATGGTATACTGAAGTATAATCACAAGCATTCCATAAGTGTCAAAGGCTTTTATTGACAATTACATTAAGTTTGTGCAAAGAGTCAATATTTGCAGTGTTGACCCTTCTTTTTCAAGACCTCTGCAATCCGCCCCGGCATGCTGTCAATTAACTTCTGGGCCACATCCTGACTGATGGCAGCCCATTCTTGCATAATCAATGCTTGGAGTTTGTTAGAATTTGTGGGTTTTTGTTTGTCCACCGCCTCTTGAGGATTGACCACAAGTTCTCAATGGGATTAAAGTTCTGGGGAGTTTCCTGGCCATGGACCCAACATTTCAATGTTTTGTTCCCAGAGCCCCTTAGTTATCACTTTTGCCTTATGGCAAGGTGCTCCATCATTCTGGAAAAGGCATTGTTCGTCACCAAACTGTTCTTGGATGGTTGGGAGAAGTTGCTCTCGGAGGATGTGTTGGTACCATTCTTTATTCATGGCTGTGTTCTTAGGCAAAATTGTGAGTGAGCCCACTCCCTTGGCTGAGAAGCAACCCCACACATGAATGGTCTCAGGATGCTTTACTGTTGGCATGACACAGGACTGATGGTAGCGCTCACCTTGTCTTCTCCGGACAAGCTTTTTTCCGGATGCCCCAAACAATCGGGAAGGGGATTCATCAGAGAAAATGACTTTACCCCAGTCCTCAGCAGTCCAATCCCTGTACCTTTTGCAGAATATCAGTCTGTCCTTGATGTTTTTCCTGGAGAGAAGTGGCTTCCTCGCTGCCCTTCTTGACACCAGGCCATCCTCCAAAAGTCTTCGCCTCACTGTGCGTGCAGATGCACTCACACCTGCCTGCTGCCATTCCTGAGCAAGCTCTGCACTGGTGGTGCTCCGATCCCGCAGCTGAATCAACTTTAGGAGACGGTCCTGGCGCTTGCTGGATTTTCTTGGGTGCCCTGATGCCTTCTTCACAACAATTGAATATAAAATTAAAAAAACTAACTCATTCCATTGAGGGTCGAGTGACTGTGGGTTTTCGCTCCTCCCTTGTACTTGATTGATGAATTAAGGTCACTGATTTAGTAAAGGAAGTCCCCTCACCTGGTTGTCTAGGTCCTAATTGAAACTGAAAATCAGCAGACATTAGGCCCTCCATGGAATGAGTTTTATCACATCCCTACAACACAGCACATTGAGCTTTAAGACATTTGGGATAGTTCAGATACTGCTGTGTTCACATATTAAAGAGACAAACCTGGATGAACATTTTTTAAATTAAAATGTACATTCAAAAATAGCGTAGAATCCACACAGGCCTGATCCAAAAAATTGACATGAGTGTTAAAATATACTGTGTGCTTGTTTGCCATTAGGTGACCGAGCACGGCGCTCCCCCAGGAAAACGCCCACCGCTATGAAGGAGGAGAAGAAGAGATGGGTGATGCCAAAGTTCCTGCCACACAAGTACGACGTGAAGCTGATCAGCGAGGACAAGGTTGGTGTCCTCTCCACTGCTTTAAAATGTATATTCACCTCCGGCCATCAAGTGTACATGTATTATGTAACTGGGTTGTGTTCATTTGTTACACAATGGAAGAAAATGGATTGAAAAAGGAAGGGGCTACCGGAAACTTGTCGAATAAGAAACACACATTTTTTTTCTTCCTGTTACCAAATTGATTTAAATGTTTTTCCATTGCATGCTCTAATGAACACAACACTGACATCTATGTTATGTAATTTAAATGCATTTTTAAACCCTACACCAACAGGTCATCAGTGATGTCCCAGTGGACAGCCTGTTCCGGACTGAGCGCCCTCCAACCAAGGAGATCATGCGCTACTTCATCCGCCACTATGCACTCCGGCTTGGGATGGGAGAGACGGCCCCCTGGGTGGTGGAGGATGAACTGGTGAAGAAGTTCAACCTACCCAGCAAATTCAGCGACTTCCTCCTGGATCCACACAAGGTAAACCTAGATTTAGATGTGGTTTGTACGTTCTTTTTTGTCCAAAAACCTCCACATAATCTCCTGTTGATGTAGGAGCTCTGGATTATGTGATGAACATGTAGGTAAAATACAACACTAAGACAAAACAGCATCATACATTGCCTTTAGAAAGTATTCATACCCTTTGACTTATTCCACATTTTGTTCTTACAGCCTGAATTGAAAATATATATTTTTCTCACCCATCTACTACACACAATACCCCATAATGACAGTGAAAACAACATGTTTTTAGATGTTTTTTCTAATTTATTGAAAATGAAAAACATAAATATCTCATTTAAATTAGTTCACAGTGCCTGAGTCAATACTTTGTAGAAGCACCTTTGGCAGCGATTACAGCTGTGAGTCTTTCTGGGTTAGTCTAAGATTTTGTCACGCGTGGATCGTGCCGATTTGTATTATTTTCAAAATTCTTCAAGCTCTGTCAAATTGATTGTTGATCTTTGCTAGACAACAATTTTCAGGGCTTGCCATAGATTTTTTTTACGTCAAAACTAACTCGTCCACTCAGGAACATTCCCTGTCTTCTTGGTAAGCAACTCCAGTGTAGATTTGGCCTTGTGTTTTAGGTTATTGTCCTGCTGAAAGGTGAATTAATCTCCCAGTGGCTGGTGGAAAGCAGACTCAACCAGGTTTTCCTCTTGGAATTTGCCTGTGCTTAGCTCAATTGTCTTTTTCTTTCTTTTTTTCTGAAAAACTCCCCAGTCCTTAAAGATTACAAGCATACCCATAACATAAATAAGTCCCCATTGATTGGCCTCATAGTGAAAACCCTGACCGGTTTCCTTCCTCTTTGGCAACTGAGTTAGGAAGGACGCCTGTATCTTCGTAGTAATATGTATTGATACACCATCCAAAGTGTAATTAATAACTTCACCATGCTCAAAGGGATATTCTATGTCAGCTTTTTTTTTTTTTACACATCTACCAATAGGTGCCCTTTTGCGCAGCATTGGAAAACCTCCCTCGTCTTTGTGGTTGAATCTGTTTGAAATTCACTGCTCGACTGAGGGATCTTACAGATAATTGAATGTTTGGGGTACAGGGATGAGGTAGTCATTTAAAAAATCTTGTTCAACACTATTATTGCACACAGTGTGTCCATGCAACTTAAGTCAAGGGGTGTGAATATTTTAAAGGGGTGAATGTCTTTATATAATATTTGTTTTTAAATATGTGACTAGTAGTTTTGTTTGCCTTCTAGTTTTTCGCAGAGAATCCAGTCTCAACCAAGCGCAAGAGCCTGAGCTCAATGGAGGGCAAACCCAGTAAGAAGCTGAAGACCTCGAACACCCCGGGAGGAGTGAATTTGGGGAATGAGAAGAAAAATAAGGATTCTCTCGGCATGCCCCTGAGCCCAGCAATCTGGGGCCACATGCAGGTTTGTCAAATTTGATACATGCTGATGTAATCTCATTTGCATATATTTTTAGCTGGCTTAGTGGTTTCATAAAGAATCTGAGAATTTGTTAAATGTTTTTCAATTGAATTTGCATATTTAGTCTGTTGCATTGGATTGAATCAATAATGCATCCATTTATATTGTAGATGAAAATGAATGGCTCGCCTCTGAAGGTAAAGAATTCCGGAACCCCCAAGAAAAGAGAGGGTGGGGCCTCTGTCCTCTCCTCCCCAAAATCCAGCAAAAAACCTGGAGACAAGAAATCTGCTACTGGCAAAAAGACGCCCGGCAAGAGCGGCCAGAAGGCGTCCTCCAAAAAGGATGAAAAGGGTGGTGGCGCCAAGAAGCCCAAGATGAAGCAAATGACCCTGTTGGACTTGGCCAAGAGCCCTCCCTCTGTTGGAAGCCCCAAGAAGAGAGCCCGGAGCACCGGCCCAGGGACCCCCAAACTGGGCAAACCCCTGCACCCCATGGCCCTGCACCTGCTGCGCTACTACAAGGAGAACAAGGGCAAGGAGGACAAGAGGAACGCCATGTCATGTCTCATATCCAAGGCGGCCAAGGCCCTCTCGCCTGAGGACCAGGGCCGGCTTCCTGAGGAGCTCCGCGACCTTGTCCTGAAGCGCTGGGAGCTGCTGGAGCACAAGAAGAAATGGGCGGCCATGAGCGAGGAGGAGAAGCAGGACGTGATGAGGAAGAAGCGCGAGGAGATCAAGGAGAAGCTCCGGGAGAAGACCAAGGAGCGGCGGGAGAAGGAGCTGCAGGTGCGCCGTGAGCAACAGCGCCGCTATGAGGACCTGGAGATCGAGGGCGGCAAGGCACTGCCTGTCTTCAAGCTGGTCGACATGCCAGAGGGGCTGCCCAACTCCCTGTTCGGAGACGTGGCCATGGTGGCGGACTTCCTCAACTGCTACGCGGGCCTGCTAATGCCCGATGACCAGTACCCGGTGACGGCAGTGGCTTTGATGGAGGCTCTGGCCGGGGAGAAGGCAGGTTTCCTCTACCTGAACCGTGTGCTGGTGGTGCTGCTGCAGACCCTGCTGCAGGATGAGTTGGCCGAGGGCTACAGCGAGCTGGACATGCCCCTGTCGGAGATCCCCCTCACCCTCCACTCTGTCTCGGAGCTCGTGCGCCTGTGCCTGCGGCCGTGCGACGCCCACGGCGATGACTCGGGCCAGGGCTCCGTGGGGGATGACTGGGGCCCCCTAGGGGGCTTCGACCAGGTGGTAAGCAGCGAGTTTCTCGAGCGGCTGGAGGCGGTGGAGGTGTTTGAGCTGACATCGACGGAGAAGGCCAGCCTGCTGGTGGCACTGTGCCACCGCATCCTCATGACGTACTCTGTGGAGGACCACGTGGACTCCATGCAGCAGCGCTCGGCCGAGCTGTGGAAGGAGAGGCTGGCCTCGCTCAAGGAGGTCAATGATCGCAAGCGGGCTGAGAAGCAGCGGCGCAAGGAACAAGCCGAGGTCAAAGGCGAGGAGGCTGCCAGTGGCGACACGCCGTCAGCCACCACCAAGGTGGAGAAGGAGGGTAGCGCCAAGAAAGATGTGAAGAAGGTGAAAGCAGAGCCGGTGGCCGCAGAGCCGGAAGACATGATCAGTACAGTGAAGAGTAGGAGGCTGATGTCCATCCAGGCCAAGAAGGAAAAGGAGGAGCAGGACAGACAGAACAAGGGTAAGGACAGCTGGACGTGTTGTAGGTCATTAGACAGGGCCAGTTTTCCTTGTCATGTCACGTGGTTAGGAAATACTCCCATCACTAGTCATAGAAAAATATTTCTTAACAAGGCAACAGTAAACATGTCGTCCCCCACGAATGATGCAGCACCCCGCTTGGGCCAATCAGTGTAATTTTGTAAATGCTAGATCTCTATGGCAAGACGCATCATTCACTCAAGTTTTGTCAAAATCGGGGCCAGTGGTGTTTGCGTTCGCGTGGGTTAGCTAGACTCTTATCCCAGAGCATGTGTGCCAAATTTCATCACTCTGTGCCAAACCGATCAAGCGATATAAACATGTCCGTTATAGCGCAACCGTGTGGTCGATATGAATGTTCTTGCATATGTTGTCTTGAAAGTGTTTGCAACAAGTGCACCAAATGTTGTTACATTATGAATATCCTTGACTGATTTATATGCGTTTGTGCCAGACCACGCCCACGTGAAAGTTTATTGGTCAATAGCGGGCCATGTTTTAGGTACTAGTCTGGAAAATATTGCGTTGAGACCCTTTGTCCATAGATGCCACATATCAAGTTTCATGCAGATCGGTCATTCGGTGCCAGAAGAGTGTCGTATAAGTGTTTTTTACAAATTCAAATATGTTCCTTATGAGGAGAGGGACCTATGTATCACATTTCATGACTGTAGATCAATCAGTCAGGAGCTTGACCTTTCAAAGTTTGCATTTTCAATCTCTTGTTACATTGCCACCATCTGGCCAATCAGTGTAATTTTGTAAATGCCATATCTCTATGGTAAGACTCATCATTCACACAAGTTACGTCAAAATGGGGCCAATGCGGTCTGAAATCGTGTGTGACTAACGTACTATCAGACGGAGACAGATCCACAGTCCTCTCCCCGATTTCATCGTGGACAATTGGAAAGGATAAGATATCTATGGTTGAATTTGAGCCAAACGATGCTCAGAGTCCCTGGTTGCTTAGGTGATTTATGCAATGGGAATGCTCGGTTATGAATGATGTGCCTAGAAAAAAAAAAAGTGTAATTGGCTCAAATAATTGTTTTGTCTCCCCTCAGAGCGCATGGAGAAGGAGGCGGAGGAGGAGCGTGTCCGCAAGCAGAAGGCTGCAGCAGAGAGGGCCTTCCAGGACGGCATAACCAAAGCCAAACTGGTGCTGAGGAGAATCCCACTGGGAACTGATCGAAACCATAACAGGTCAGCATGCACACTTCAATGGTTCACAACAGGTTTAGGTGTTTTATTTACAGTTTACTCTTGATACATGCATATAAGTGCTCTGGTTTAGTGCATGCATTCTCAACGGTCCCAAGACAATGGATATATTAGGAATCGACAACTATGTAAAATGTAAACTGTTGTACCACATACAGTTGATTTTAATGTCACTGTTGGTTTATATTACCGTCGGTATTGACCATCCAACTCTTTGTGTCTGTGTGTTAGGTACTGGCTGTTCTCTGATGTGGTGCCTGGCCTGTACATAGAGAAGGGCTGGGTGCATGACAGCATTGACTACAGCTACACCCTCCCCCTGGAGGAGGCTGCAGCCGAGCCTGAGGACGAGGAGGCCACCAATGAGGAGACTAATGGTGAGTTAGTACACTCATCACAGCTGAGTCTGCAAACCTTAGTACTAGTAAGTACAGCTTATACTCTTCACTAGCTATGTTTAGTGCCTCATGTCCCAGAAGAGTAAAGACAAATAATTGATAAATATAGCTGTGAGCAGCAATGAACAGGCCTCACATGATTACAGAAAGGACACAAGATCAGTTGAATAACAAAGCAAGCACTCAATCATGTAGGAACTATCTTTATGTGCAGTCATGAGTCTAAATACAAAATCTGGAGTGACTCTGACGAATGGTTCATGAGGAGAAGATGATTGCAGAGGATTTTGAGCATTAGCGTTACAAATGCAAAGAATGAGTTGCTAATAGTTTCCTTGTTTTAGATATCAATACCAAATTCACTGTGGTTCGTCTTAGGGACATCCGTGACAGCGATGTTAAGTTGATAGTCCACTGTGGAGTGGATTTACAGTGGTTTTAAATGTAACTCAGCCATCTTTTGACCAATCCCTTAGCTTTTCTCAAACTAAGGTAAGACCTGTACCATGGGCCTACATGTCATTTGGTTCAATTGTTCATGAGAAGATGACTTTGGAAGTATATTTAGCATATTAGCGTATGTGCTAATATGCATATACTGGTATAGTGTGGCAATCTTTGAATACGTCAACGTTATTTTCTTAAATTCTTTTGGTATTGTAATGAGTCAAAATACCACATTTGGAGTAAATGTGACTTTTAGTCCATGAGAATATTTTTTAAATGATTATTTTGAGCATAGTCGAGGTGAATTGTTAATAGTTTCCTTATTTTTTAAAGATCTCAATGCCAAACTTAGTTTGAAGTTGATAAGCCATTGTGGAGTGGATTTAAATAGACATGTAAAATGTGCTTTCCTTATTTGTTAATAACTCAGCCACCTCTTAACCTAAGTCAAAGTCAGTGGGTGTGGTCGACAGTGCGCACCTCATCTCTGCCCTCACAACCAACCTGGATCGATGTTTGGTTTTAATGCAGACGAGAGCACTGAATCCAGCTTCACACAGATATGAGCTGGCGAAGGGTACCATGAGTTTTATGGTGCTTCAAGACCAACTGGGAACTCAAAAAAATAAGGTCAAATCATGGCGTCAGTGATCTTCAGGTCAGAAAGTCTGAGTTCTAGAAAGCGGCCCGAGATTCTGAGTTGGATGACCGTTCAAAACAATTTCTCCCAGTCGGAGCTAGTTATTTTTTTCTCCATGTTCCCAGTTGTCTTGAATGCACTTAAGTTGGAGAATTCCGAGTTCCCAGTTGTTTTGAAAGTGGCATTAATGCTCAGAGGGAGACGGCAGGTTATTTATTCCCTTTGAGTCAGGAAGCAAAACACCTGCATGCTTGTGTTCAGTTTCCCAAATAAGTATGTTACATAAGCAAGGAGACACATTTTATTTTCATAGAAAGTCACCCAAGTAATTTCCTCTCTCAATGTGAAAAATATTTTCCCTTCGATAACCACCAAGCCTCGGTATAAAATAGAACATTGTCATGCTCTGATCCCATATCTCCAAATAGTTTTGCGAACAGGCGTGCGCGTTGTGGATGTGGTTTGACGTAGTTTACAATTTAAGTTACCTGCTGCAGTATATCTCCCAAGTTCTGTGCTCGGCTCTTGTGCTGCCAGTCGCATGTATCATACAATACGTCCATATGGCAGAGGGAGACACATTCATAACTAGAGTGCAGAGGCCTGTGCGCCGTCCCGCCATAGATTGAGCTCCATCTGTACAAAAGGCCACCATTCAATCCCATGGAAGCTGTTTTTCGTCAATATAGTGACGCAGCACACTGATTCCTCTGTGCAGTTTCATGCTTGGGAATCGTGAGACCGAACAATATGTCCTCGTGAATAGAATCCAACATGTAATAACAAACATCTCCCGCGACCCCATTTTTATATCAGGTGTCCCCTAGTTTGGGAATCGCTATCTTAACCAATCCCTTAGCTTTTCTCATAGTATGTTACAGGGTTCGTACTTCATGAAAATCCTGGAAAAGTCATGGAATTGAAATGTTTTCTAGGCCTGGAAAAGTTTAGGAAAAGTCATGGAAATTAATTTAATAATGTCTCTTAATGTAATTTATTTAGGCACAGTTAAATATTGTATGAATCAAAGAAAAATCAACATATCAGAATGACACTTTAGCGCGTCTGTGGTTGCGCGCATCACCTGCGTGCGAGACCAGTGGTCTGTTGCTCAGAGAGAGAGAGAGAGAGACATTGCAGCAGCAGGTAGGCCTATATAAAACCTATAAATATGATAGAGAACAGACTAATAACTAGGTAGCCAATTCAAAACAAATATTGTACCCTGTAGTTAACTGTTTAGCAATTATTAGCGTGTATGTTTTCATCATGTCCCCCAAAAAAATCCACCGACACTTGCGAATAAGGCCATACAAAGTTGATTCATTTAAACGATTCACTTCGCCATTGTATTAGTTGGGATTTGGTTAAATCGTGATGAATCGAATGTGAATCAAAATAATTTGTGAATCGCAAACAGTAATATTAGGGGAGGGGGGGGGGGGGGATATTAAATGTAGCCTTTTATTTTGGATTATGTGGCTTCAACTTGTTTTGTAGATACTTCCAGTTGATTTGGCCATCCAATGTATGGGACATTGCAACTCATTAGATGCTAGTCAGCCTGCAAAGTAAACACTTCTAAGGTAGCTAATATAAATATGACTACACTAAAAGGTACATTTACTGAAGAAAATGTGTGGTCTTGTTTCAGCTTGATGAAAAGATTTGTAGCCTACTATAGCCATTTCATCTTTGACGTATTAAATGAGTGAATTATTTCAAAATGATAACGTATTTGGTTGCAATGTTATTGTTGTAATGTTGCAATGTTATACAGGACAGCTAGTGGGTGTGTAGGCTTTTATTCCAGTCCCCCTCTGTTTGAGCAGAGCTTGATCAAAGGTCTGCACACCCAGTAGCTCTCCAGACTGAGGGTTGACCACATGTGTTTTTATACAGTTGCCTAACTGGTATTCTACTTTGGGGGGGGGGGGGGGGGGGTTAAGTTCCTTGCACAACGACAGGAGATGGTACATGGGATCAGAGAGCAGCCTCTGTGTCAATAACACATTACTCAACTTTTTTTATACGCACGTAGAGACACCGCTAACGGTTGGTCATGGAAATTTGGTTAAAAATTCCATCTGTCAAAATGTGTATGAACCCTGAAGTTAAGAGAGGCCTACATACCGAATTTGAGATGTTTTCCAAGATGGAGGAAAATCGATCCTGAGGGACCTTATGGGCCCTTAAGGCAAATTGTTCAGCATGTAAAAGACACCTACATACAAAGTTTAGTCTCTAGGTCAAACAGGGCGACAGATATGAGGGTTTAAGTGAGACTGCTTATAACAGTGCCATTCTTTTTGACCAAATTACTCATGGCCCTGTAGTTTCTGTGTGCCAACTTAGAAAAAAGTTAACAATCTATGCCATGTCGGGGAGAACGGGAAAAAAATGTATTCAGAGAATAACAATAGTTTTCACAACTTCGCTGTGAACCCCTAAATATAATTTATTGATATTATTAGTTGTAGGAGATGGTCTTGTTGCAGCATTAAACCTGGGTCGTATTCATAAGGGCACACCGTAGAAAAACGTAGTGCAACAGGAAGCTTTTCTTATTGGTTAAGTTCAGATAGTCCCTCACTTTCTTTGGTTTTGTGGCTACTGAACACGACCCTGTTCTGTTGCTGGTCCTGCAGATGTTGAGGAGGACGGTGGCAGTCTTGATGGTGCTCTGAGCGAGGGAGCCCACCAGGGGGCGCCAGCTTGCGTCTGCATAGAAACCACCACTCCCAACCAGGGACAGAACCTCTGGTAAGAAACTCACTGGCAGAGATGGTCATTGGTTGACTTGATAACTAAAAACGTTTTGTGTCATTCAATAACAATGTTGAAACGATACTTACACCAAAGAGCGGATGATTATATTTGTGCTATGATATACTATGTGTTTACGCCAAGCTTATGTTTGTGTTGAAGGTTTGTGTGTGATGCTCCGCGGGACCTCGATGACCTGGTGGAGAGCCTCCACACGCAGGGTGTGAGAGAGAGCGAGCTGAAGACCAAGCTGCAAGTCAGGTGAGGAGACAGGAGCCTTACATTCTACACACCCTCCACAAATTCACTCACTCACCCAATGACTGCTTTGTGAGTGACTCCACACTTTTTTATCTTGTCCTATTTATGCAAATGGCCCAGAGTTTGTCCTGGTTAGGTTACATGGATCAGGTATATGTGCGTGAGCAAGTCTGACTGACTGGGTGTTGTACGCTGACAGGTACCAGGACATCCTCCACTCTATCAACCTGGCCCGCAAGGGGAACCCAGGGCTGAGGAGCTGCGATGGCCACCAGGAGCTGCTCAAGTACCTGCGCAGCGACGTCATCGAGGTGGCCTCGCGCCTCCAGAAGGGCGGCCTGGGCTACATGGACGACAGCATGGATGAGTTTGAGAAGAAGGTATCTATTCATACAATCAATTCACATGTTCTGAATCAGGAGTTTTTCCTGATCACTTATCAGGTCATATGGTCAGGAAAAACGAATGTCCATACACATTATTTTGGATCTACCGTCTTATCAAGATCTTCCTCAATGCCCATTTACCTGTATTTGTCTTTGTGCCTTGCACATCCAGCAGAGTATGACCTCTGAACTTGACCATTCCCCCCCTGACCCCTGTCTCTGTGTATGTTCAGGTGCGTGACCTGGAGAACCTGAAGGACTTTGGGGAGTGTGTCATCACCCTCCAGGCTTGTGTCATCAAGAAGTTCCTGCAGGGCTTCATGGCCCCCAAGCAGAAGAAGAAGAAGAAGCAGGAAGGGGAGGAGAGCAGAAAGACTGAGGAGGTGGATGAGGAGAAGAAGCTGGCGGAGGAGGCCAGGGTGAGTAATACCTATTTTAGACAGATAACATCGTTACCTGTAATAAAAACAAGGCAACCCTCTTTCAAACAGCCCCTTATTTACAATGTTCTTGCCAGTATAACCCCTGTTATACATATCGGTGCGTAAACAGCAATTTGGATGGGGGGGAGGGTTAAACCATGGGGCCTATTTTGCAATTCAAATTAGGAAGGTGTTAAACAATAGTGTTATTGAATTTACCCGCATAAAATGTATATTTTCTCACAGACCCATTACCAGTTTTTTGGTTACATGGTCTGAAAATACAGGTTTCATGACTAGGTCTCGAGGTGGGTTGGAATGTACCGTGTTTTTTTTACCCCCTACCCCTTTCAGATATAAATAAAAGATGTTATGGTAAAAAAGTGGGATTTGTGTCTGTATATGAAAGGGGTATTACTAACGTCTGATCCAGAGTCCGATGTTTCTTCATCCGGCTAATGGTTAAGGATAAGTTGAAGCTAGGGTAATCTGATCCTTGATCTGGTTTTAAAGGGCTTCTTCAAACCCAAGCTTAGTGGAGCTTTAGGAGGACTTTCTTTTCAAATTAAATAAATGTTTAATTAAAGTGCATGTTAAACACAATTTTCAGTAAAAAATCAATATCATAATAGAAAAATATATAAATAGTAATTTGTCTGCCGTGCAGGTGGCAACTGCAGTAGAGAAATGGAAGACTGCGATCCGTGAGGCCCAGACCTTTTCCCGGATGCACGTGCTGCTGGGCATGCTGGATGCCTGCATCAAGTGGGACATGTCGGCAGAGAACGCACGCTGCAAGGTGTGCCGCAGGAAAGGTGGGTGATCCTCAACGTCCTGGAGCTGTGTGAGAGAGTCCGAAAACTGAAGGGGGAATTTTAAGATGGTGTCAATGGAAAGGACATGGCAATTAGTAAGAAACAATTGCAGATAGTAGTGCTGAAATCTATCATTAGGTGGTGGTAGAGCACCGTGCCCCAAGGCCTCGTCAAGAAAACCTTTCACAGTATTGAGTCACCTACACCAGGGTTTCCCAAACTCTGTCCTGGGGCCCCCCCTGGGTGCACGTTTAGTTTTTTGCCCTAGCACTACACAGCTGATTCAAATAATCAAAGCTTGCTGATGAGTTGGTTATTTGAATCCGCTGTGTAGGCTGGAGAAAAAACCAAAACATGCACCCAGGTTGGGCCCCAGGACCGAGTTTGGTAAACCCTGATCTACACTACAGCATTTGACTGTCATTTTCTGCCTGTTGAAGATGATCTGCCTGAGCAAGGTGCTGTGAAGACTTTGGCGATCCACAAATCACCTTGCATTCCACTAAAGCAGGGGTGTCAGACAAGGCCCGCGACCCCATTCATTGAAATGACTAAAACTAAATTGAAACTGTGTAGAAATAATGACCTACATTTAGTCTCTTTTTAAAAATAGATTTTTTCCCTGTCACATACACCTGATAGGTGCAGTGAAGTGTGTTTTACTCTGTGTAGCTTGCTACATTCATCGAAACGAAAGCTAGACAGTCGGGAGCATAGAAAATTCCTAAAGCGATGGATATAGTGACAATATTTTTAGCATTTTGACGCAGAGGAATGTAATCAATTTTAAGTGCGGCGTTCCGGACTTCGGTGAAGACCGAATGCGGCACACAGGGGCAAAATGAGTTTGACACCCCTGCACTAAATGAATCTTTGCAGTATAAATGAGCAAATTTGTTCATGGCCTTCGAGTCAGACCTCTCGAACAGGCAGAAAGACATGATTGACTAATGTATAGAGTCTTTGAATGACTGAAGTGAAGTTGCTATGCTACTTTATCAGCTATGTGTTGATCTTTGCTCTAGTAAATGTATTACCTTGATTTAACCAGTTATGTTATTGGAACACATTCTCTCTTCCAATAACAACCTGTACTCTCTCCAGGGACAGGGCTGAGGCCTCCTGTCCTCGTGCTGCGGGACATGGTTATCCCCAGTCCCAGGTAGGGCAGGGGGATGAGCCCAGAGCAGGGATAGGGTAGTGTCAAACAGGTGCAGGTGTACCACACACTGCCATACAGCCACACTACAGGTGAACTAGCAGTAAGATACTACAGTATAAGGCCCTGTATAAGTATTGAAGTAATATAATTACTATAAGTAGAAGTACAATACTCAAGGACCTGTATGAAAATACTCCTCTCCCTCCTATAGCTGATCTGACATTAGCAGAGTTGGTGTAGTGGAAACCTACCCAGTGATTTCAGATCAGCCATGGCTTGTAGCCTTATCTTGAACTACAAATATTTGGAAATGAGAGGGATTATATATGTTAGAAATGATTATGATTAGTCCTTGTTTTGGTAGAGCTAATGAGTGAACCCTTATCCTTGGGGGTTTGACCAGCTGTCTCATTGTAAATTGAGCCCTAGCCAAATCACCTTGGATGTTTCAGGGCAGCTCCTTGGCCCAATCCCATATCATCCCCTACTCCTTGTAGCTGTGGGTCCTGGGCTGTGAGGGATGCAGCACAGGCATTGTTCGTTTGCTCAGTTGTAGCTTTTGCATGCAAACACTGGTACTGTATGTATACATACACATACACACATTTCATTGTCTAGAGTTAATGACAGTGTAGGCCTAAACTATTTACTGAGTCTGTGATGATGATGATCTCTCCTCCATCATTCCTTCAGGTGAGGATGACAAGCTCATCCTGTGTGACGAGTGCAACAAGGCCTTCCACCTGTTCTGTCTGCGGCCCGCCCTCTACCGTATCCCCCAGGGCGAGTGGCTGTGCCCCGCCTGCCAGCCCGCCATGCAAAGACGCTGCTCCCGCGGAAGGTAGGGGGTCACACGATAACACACTACCTCACTGGAGGATTAAAGACTTAGCTGTGTCTAAACGTTCTGTTTCCTCGTCAAACACGACGAGCAAGCCGTTTCAATCTGAAGATGGTACTGTAGAAGCCACTTGGAAAATACTCTAGTGTTTTATTATTTGATGAGCCCCCAAATCAGCCCCTAGTTTCAAATGTTCTTCCAAACTTACGGCGTGTAAAGAAAGAAGACTGTTTTGCTAGAACGCTGGTTGGGTGGTTGTTGGGTACCAATTGGATGAATGCTCTTTAACATAGAATGCTAATGGCTACTTGTGGTTCTAGAAACTACAACGAGGACACTGAAGAAGAGGAGGTTTCTGAGGATGAAGAGGAGTCTGAATCTGAGGACACTGATGAAGATGATGAGGAGGATAAGGATTACAAGGCCATGGGCCACAGCTGTGAGTATTATTGACCCCAGTAGGGACCCTTACTTACCATAACCCAATGTAACAGTACTGACTAGAGCAGGGTGGCCAACGTGCAGGGTTTTGTGCCTATCATAAGTATTCACCCCCTTGCATTTTAGTGCAAGTCTTGCCAATAGATTTTCAAGCAGATTTATGTCAAAACTGTAACTTGGCCACTAAGGAACATTCACTGTCTTCTTGGTAAGCAACTCCGGTGTGAATTTGACCTTGTGTTGTAGGTTATTGTCCTGCTGAAAGGTGAATTTCTCTCGCAGTGTCTCGTGTAAAGCAGACTGAAGGTTTTCCTCTAGGATTCTGCCTGGTCTTAGCTCCATCCCGTTTCTTTTTATCCTGAAAAACTCCCCAGTCTTTGCGGATGTCAAGCATACCCATACCATGATGCAACCACCACCATGCTTGAATATAAGGAGGCAGTTACTTAGTGATGTAGTATTTGCCCCAAACATGAGGCTTTTCATTTAGGCCAAACAGTCCTGTGATAATAATGGATGCATGTTTTGGAATATTTGTGTTATGTATATTTGTATTCTTCTTTTCACTCTGTCATTTAGGTCATTATTATGGAGTCACTACAATGTGGTTGATCCATCCTCCGTCTTCTCCCGTCACAGCCACAGCTGTTTTAAAATCACCTACTGCCTCATGGTGACATCCCTGAGCAGGTTCCTTCCTGTCCTTCAGCTCAGTTCAGAAGGATGACTGTATCTTTGTGTCTGGGTGGTTTAATACATCATCCACAGCATAATTATTAACTTGACCATGCTTAAAGATGTATTCAATGTCTGATTTGTTATTGTTAACCATTTACCAATCACTGCCAGTCTTCATGAGACTGTCTCAAATCTCCCTGGTCTTTGAAGTTGAATCTGTTCTTGAAAGGCAATACTTGACTGAGGGACCATACAGATGTACAGTGCCTTCAGAAAGTATTGACACCCCTTGACTTCTTTCATGTTGTGGTTACAGCCTGAATTTAAAATGGATTACATTTAGATTTGTCACTGGCCTACACACAATACCCTATAATGTGAGTGGAATTATGTTCTTAGACATTTTTACAAATTAATTACAAATCAAAAGCTGAAATGCCTTCAGTCAAGTATTCACCCCTTTGTTATGGCAAGCCTAAATAAGTTCAGGAGTAAAAATGTGGTTGAAAAATAACACAAGTTGCATGGACTCACACTGTGTGCAATAATAGTGTTTACATTTTTTAATTTTTATGAATACCTCATCTCTGTACCCTGCACATACAATTATCTGTAAGGTCCCTCAGTCAGTGAAATTCAACCACAAAGACCAGGGAGGTTTTCCAATGCCTCACAAAGAAGGGCACCTATTGGTAGGTGGGTAAAAAAAAGTAGACATTGAATATCCCTATGAGCATGGTGATGTTATTAATTACACTTTGGATGGTGTATCAATACACCCAGTTACCACGAAGATACAGGTGTCCTTCCTAACTCAGTTGCCGGAGAGGAATGAAACCGCTCAGGGATTTCACCGTGAGGCCAATCAATGGTGACTTTAAAACAGAGTTTAATGGCTGTGATAGGAGAACTAAGGGTGTATCAACATTGTATTTACTCTATAATACTAACCTAATTGACAGAGGGAAAGGGAAGTCTGCACAGAATACAAATATTCCAAAACATGCATCCTGTTTGCAACAAGGCACTAAAGTAATACTGGGAAAAAATGGCAAAGCTATTTTTTTTTTGTCCTGAATACAAAGTGTTATGTTTGTGGCAAATCCAATACAACACATTACGGAGTACCTCTCCATATTTTTAAGCATATTGGTGGCTGCATCATGTTATGGGTATGCTTGTAATCGTTAAGGACTGGGGAGTTTTTCAGGATAAAAACAAGGCACAGAATGGAGCTAAGCACAGGCAAAATCCTAGAGGTCAGTCTGCTTTCCACCAGACACTGGGATATTAATACACCTTTCAGCAGGACAATAACCTAAAACACAAGGCCACATCTTCACTGGAATTGCTTACCAAGAAGACAGGGAATGTTCCTGAGTGGACGAGTTAGTTTTGACTTAAATCTACTTGAAAATCTATGGCAAGACCTAAAAATTGTTTCGCAATGATCAACAACTAATTTGACAGAGCTTGAAGAATTTAGAAAATAATAATATGGGCATAATCCAGGTGTGGAAATCTTAGACTAACCCAGAAAGACTCAGCTGTAATCGCTGCCAAAGGTGCTTCTACAAAGTATTGACTCAGGGGTGTGAATACGTATGTAAATGAGATTTCTGTATTTCATTTTCAATAAGTTTGCAACAATTCATAAAAACATGTTTTCACTTTGTCATTATGGAGTATTTTGTGTAGATCAATGACAATAAAATCACAGTTAAATCTATTTCAATCCCACCTTGTAATTCAACAAAATGTGAAAAACTCCAAGGGGGATGAATACTTAGCTGTGATACCCACTATATATATTTATTGAATCGGGTTTAAGTGCTGAGTTGACACAGAAGCCCTTACACTTTGAAGTGAAGAACTGTGGACTAGGGGTCTAAGACTGGTTGGGAAGGGCCTGTAGTGTAGCAGTGGTTTTACATAGATACTAGGGCCCAGAGTTTCTCCTATCCAGACCAGCAGACCAGGGAAAACTCTGAACAGGCCGAACAATGGACACATTTCCATTTCACGGGTGGAGAGAGGGATGGGAATGTGGTGCAGTATTCGGAGCCCATTCTCTCCCCTCTTCATTGTCTGAGTGTTGTCCCTCCTTTTGATCTGGCATACTTTTCACCCCCGGCTTGGCTGACAGTATGTGGCAGAGTGATCCTCTGTGAGTTTAGGTCTGCACGTAAGGTAACCACACACAATTGGGTTTGGAAGACAGGGGTGGTTGGTGGTTATAGTGCTGCCATAGCAGGACGGTTTTTCCCCTGCAGATCTGGCAACATAACATTGCAAACCAAACTGTGAGCGAGGATTCGGCCCAGTGCATTTTGAGGTCTCTTGACATAGCTCCCTCCCTCTGAGAAGTTGGGCTTGTTGATGAGCCTAGTTGACCAGAGGAGATCTGTTTTAGGATGACTATTGAACGATTTTAAAAGTCTGAATGTTTTAGCATTTTACTTGTGATTTTATAGCTTCATCCCTATTCTTACAGTTCATACAGGTACAACAAATGGGACTGACTGAAATGTTTTTTTCTGATGGTGTGTGTATATTTAACTGGACTCTTCTTCTTCCCAGTGAGATCAAGGAAGAAGACAAAGCACTCTAAAGCATCGAAGGCGTCCAGTAAGGGTGGATCTAAGAAGCACTCTCCCCCCAGTAAACAGAGGGCCGCCCCTAGCAGCCCTGCAGACATCGACGAGCTGGTGAGAACTTCACGCTATGGCTCATTGTTAGAAAGACTTGGGTCTGGACTCCCGAGTGGCGCAGCGGTCTAAGGCACTGCATCGCAGTGCTTTAGGCGGTACTACAGACCAGGGTTTGATCCCAGACTGTGTCGCAGCTGGCCGCTACCGGGAGACCCATGAGGCGGCGCACAATTGGTCCAGCGTCGTCCGGGTTAGGGGAGGGTTTGTCCGGCCGGGATGTCCTTGTCCCATCACACTCTATCGACTCCTTGTGTCGGGCTGGGCACATTGCACTCCGACACATTGGTGCGGCTGGCTTCCGGGTTAAGCGAGCAGTGTGTCAGGAAGCAGTGTGGCTTGGCGGGGTCGTGTTTCGGAGGATGCATGGCTCGCGACCTTCGCCTCTCCTGAGTCCGTACGGGAGTTGCAGTGATTGGACAAGACTGTAACTACCAATTTGAATATCACGAAAAAGTGGGAGGAGAAAAAGGGGCAAAAAATACCCAAAAATATATACAACAATAAAGACTTTGGTCTGGTGACTCTGACGCACTGGTGCAAGCCAGCTTCTATGCAGATAATTTGACCCCTTTCCCAACAATATGGTGTGTGTTTGGTTTGCTGCAGGTGCGTCAGAGCTCAAAGACAGGTGTGCGTAGGCAGGCCCTGGAGCTGGAGAGGAGTGCGGAGATCCTGAAGAAACTGGTCAAATTTCGCTACAGCTGGCCGTTCAGGTGAGACTGATGCACTACTAGTGTGTTAGTTAGACTGGCATGCAGTTAAACATTTGTGAAGCTGGAAAATGCCTCCTGAAAGTGTTTCAACTATGGCTTGACTAGCACAACTAACTTTGGACTTATACTCCTATCTCAATGCAACAACATACATTGACACTAACTAACTATATAGATATCAGACAGTTGTTTAGATGTTCAGTGTAGGTGTCCATGTGAATTCCATGGCAATGGTAACAAGCTAACTAGATCGGAGACAGTAGACCTGACCCCTAACCTCCCCGTCCTCTCTCCTCGCTCCAGAGAGCCGGTGTCGGTAGAGGAGGCGGAGGACTACTTTGACATCATCTCCAGCCCCATGGACTTCCAGACCATGCAGGCCAAGTTCAGCGAGGGCCAGTACCGCCACGCCCAGGACTTCCTGGAGGACGTCAAGCTGGTGTTCTCCAACGCCGAGGAGTACAACCAGACGGGCAGCTCGGTTCTCTCCTGCATGGCCAAGACGGAGCAGAGCTTCACCCAGCTGCTTCACAAGCTGCTGCCCGGCCTCAGCTACCTGCGCCGCCGCCAGCGGAAGAGAGTCAGTCGGACCCCTCAGGAGGATGAAGAGGACGAGGAGGAGGAGGAGGAAGAAGAAGAAGAAGAGGAGGAGGAGACGCCGAAGGGTCGGAAGATGCAGAATGGGAAAGGCAAGGTGGGTCGGCCCAGGAAAGCCGTGGCGGAGCAGAGGATGAAAGGAAGGAGAAAGGAAGAGAGCGATGAAGAGGGCAGAGCGAAGAGGAAGAGCAAGCGGGCGGCGGCCACGTCCAGCCGGAGGGACTACCGGGAGCAGGAGAGTGATGGCGAGGAGCGCGACAACCGGAGAACTGGGCAGTGGGGGGGCGTTGGAGGGGATAGTGAGGAGGAGAACAGGGCCGGCCACCGACATTCCAAGCGGCAGAAACGCTCATAATGAAGTCCAGGGTGCTTTTTGTGTTTGTCTCTTCACATTTCCGCCCTTAAAATGTCAACAGAACACACCTCCCAATTCCCAGGAAATGGGACTGAACTTCTCAGATGAAGTTTTTTGTGTTTTTGGTTTTATGTTAATATTTTTGAGTAAAAAAAGAAACTGATTTATATTTGTAATGCGATTTAATATTTGGTGACTTTTTTTCAAACTGAGAAATTTACATTTAAGACGAGAGGATTTGTCAGAGCTCTTAGATAATTTAATTTGAATTTATCCCAACCACCCCCACACCTTATATTCTTGTCATCCTCCCAGGTTTAAAGTTGTAATTTAGCTTCTGTGCGGTTTAGGCTGTGAGGGATGGGCTGTTAACCGTTGTCAGGAAATAACTAATTTATGTCGATGTACAGTGTCATCATTCTCTGGTGTCGCTTTTTGACGTGACTAAACACTGGCCTTTGTGCAACCCAGCCGTGTGAGGGCACCAAAGCCCTTGGCATATACGCCTGAATTCTTCCTTCAGGCTACACGCACACACTGCATAGCCATCACTCTGCCGAATTGTTGAACCATTCAGATAATCCAGGGTTTTCTAAATGCAATTCAGTTTCCAGTGATATTGACAATGAAAAATACCTATTGTAAAAACAACAGTACATTTTAACCCTCCCTTCTGGTTGCAGCAACACATGTTTATCTGCAGTGTCTCATTCCTGGTCCACCGCGTTGCCCAACCTTTCATCTCCATGATGTCCTCAAGTTAAGTAGATTATTCCCCTTAAACAGCCCTGTCGTTTTCTCCCTATAAAGGCAGACCTAGCTTTGTTTTCATATGCCTACTGTGGTAGGGCTCTACTGTCTCATTGACATTATAGGCATTTATTATTTTAAACCAGTGTTTAAACCACAAATACAAGCATAGCCATGGTCTAAATTCATGGAAATGTGTTTGTTGACTTGAAAATGGGATTTTCATGTTTTGTGATTGTTTTGTTGCACTTTTGGCTGAATTTGATTCAAAGGCAGTGTATGAAATACTTGCGAGCTGTAACCACTTCCTTCCTCTCAAAGATTTGTCAACGGTCATCTTTATGCCATGTCATCCATACAAGTTCTGGTTAGGTTCTAGTCCGAGGAAGGCGATTTGTGTGTGGAGGAGGGTTCGTGGACCATGGCACGGGTTGTGAGGTTCAAATCCTTCAGCAGCAGGTTATTGCTGTTGCTTCAAATTCCTTAGTGTATGTTTCCATTCATTAGCACCAGGTGGTGCTATACTCCTGCACTTTTAACCTGCATAGTGCAAGCCATGGTCCCATGAGAACGTCTTGTTCATATTCCTTTCCTTATATAATAATAATAATAATAATATGCCATTTAGCAGACTCTTTTATCCAAAGCGACTTAGTCATGTGTGCATACATTTTTATGTATGGGTGGTCCCGGGGATCGAATCCACTAACCTGGCATTACAAGCGCCGTGCTCTACCAATTGAGCTACAGAGGACCACCTTAAACAACCTCATGCACATTCTACTGTATGGTAGAAGTAGGTGTTAAAATACCCCTTCCCTCTCGCTAGTGTGTGTGTGTGTACCATGTACCATAATCACACCTTGGAGAGAGTTAAGGGCCTTGTAGTAATTCTCAGATGGGGTGTTGGGGTAGCTATGTACAGAACGCAGGTTAGGTAGTCATATACAATGCAGATGTCGTGACTATTCCCTGTCCTGTATGTGCTGTTCTATGCAGTATGTTAGCGCTTTTTCATCACTACTGTCATTGAATCATCAATCCTACGATCTGATTTAATTTGGTTCTTATAATTTGGGCAGTTTTAAAAAGCGCTTTGAGGTTTTTGTTTGTACTACTCAACTCCTGTACCTGAGATTATTGAAATGTCATTGTTGGCTGTTCATTTACATTTACGTCATTTAGCAGACGCTCTTATCCAGAGCGACTTACAGTTAGTGCATACATTATTCTTTTTTTTTTTTTCATACTGGCCCCCCGTGGGAATCGAACCCACTACCCTGGCGTTGCAAACGCCATGCTCTACCAACTGGGCTACCTCCCTGCCGGCCATTCCCTCCCCTACCCTGGACGACGCTGGGCCAATTGTGCGCCGCCCCATTGGTCTCCCGGTTGCGGCTAGCTACAGCAGAGCCTGGATTACATTCAATATATAGATGGAAGAGCAAATCTAAAGAATTGCAAAAGTGACTGCCATCCTCAGTAGAATACCTGTCTGTTGTAAATGCTTTCTTTCTTTCCAGAGGAACTAAAAAAAGTATTTTACACTTCTCTTTTTTTATATTTATAGTCGCAACTGGGGTCGGGGTTAGACATGTGTGGAGCTCACATGTAAAGAATTCCCGATAAAGGATATGGACTTTAAGTTTAGAACTCCCCTTTTTTCTTTGTTTTGAGGTAAATATTATTCCCCCAGCCATCACTGCCAATAGTAAACCTTCTGATAGATAATTGCCAGTGGGGAGGAGTTAGCCATGGGACCGCAGGCTGACATGTTTTCTTCACTTTTTAATAAAACATCATACAATGGTATCGCTTTCCAGTGTCTTGCTTATTTCTGTAGTCTTTATACTTTGTGGTTGGCTTACCTTCCTTGGTTAAATGCACTGATTCTAAGATGTCTGCTTAATGACTGAAATGTAAATGTTGATAAAGGTCCTATGCATTGTAAAAGATTGTTACAACCCAGTACATGTAGGCTTAGTTGAGAAATTAGTTTGAAGATGCCTTGCAGAATTAAAACTGCTTCCAATCATCTGAGGTGGGAGAAGAATTTCCTTGAACCATTGTCCAATTAAGGCAGCTTTTGTGTAGTCAAGTGAAACTGTCTCGGGTTTGTACCGTTTCGTTGCCTCGTCGGGACTGGTGGAACACTGACGTGGGGCTTCAGCAGTCTGTCTGCTGTCGGGCTCTCTGGTCTGGTCTCACTGGGCCTGCACTCTCACCCAGAGAAGCATGCCATTCTTTTAATTACAGACACTCGTGTTGTTCTTGGACATCTCCGGTGGCACCAGGTAATTATCCCTAGTCACTTGCGAAGGCACACAGGCTCCAGACTTTCCACTGCTGCATGGAGGGAGCGGGGCTGCTATGGAGTGGATAATGTGTTTAAGGAAGTGACAGCTCCCCAGTTTCTAGTTGGATACTCAAGAATGGGAATTATCCAGACAAAAGGTCATTTTGTACTCATTGACACTAAATCCAAATTACACTGCTCAAAAAAATTAAGGCAACTCTAAAATAACACATCCTAGATCTGAATGAATGAAATAATCTTATTAAATACTTTTTTCTTTACATAGATGAATATGCTGACAACAAAATTATCAATGGAAATCAAATGTATCAACCCATGGAGGTCTGTGGAAGTGGAAAACCACACTACAGGCTGATCCAACTTTGATGTAATGTCCTTAAAACAAGTCAAAATGAGGCTCAGTAGTGTGTGTGGCCTCCACGTGCCTGTATGACCTCCCTACAATGCCTGGGCATGCTCCTGATGAGGTGGCGGATGGTCTCCTGAGGGATCTCCTCCCAGACCTGGACTAAAGCATCCGCCAACTCCTGGACAGTCTGTGGTGCAACGTGGCGTTGGTGGATGGAGCGAGACAGGATGTCCCAGATGTGCTCAATTGGACTCAGGTCTGGGGAACGGGCGGTCCATAGCATCAATGCCTTTCTCTTGCAGGAACTGCTGACACACTCCAGCCACATGAGGTCTAGCATTGTCTTGCATTAGGAGGAACCCAGGGCCAACCGCAACAGCATATGGTCTCACAAGGGGTCTGAGGATCTCATCTCAGTACCTAATGGCAGTCAGGCTACCTTTGGCGAGCACATGGAGGGCTGTGCGGCCCCCCAAAGAAATGCCACACCATGACTGACCCACCGCCAAACCGGTCATGCTGGAGGATGTTGCAGGCAGCAGAACGTTCTCCACGGCGTCTCCAGACTCTGTCACGTGCTCAGTGTGAACCTGCTTTCATCTGTGAAGAGCACAGGGCGCCAGTGGCGAATTTGCCAATCTTGGTGTTCTCTGGCAAATGCCAAATGTCCTGCACGGTTGGGCTGTAAGCACAACCCCCACCTGTGGACGTCGGGCCCTCATACCACCCTCATGGAGTCTGTTTCTGACCGTTTGAGCAGACACATGCACATTTGTGGCCTGCTGGAAGTCATTTTGCAGGGCTCTGGCAGTGCTCCTCCTGCTCCTCCTTGCACAAAGGCGGAGGTAGCAGTCCTGCTGCTGGGTTGTTGCCCTCCTACGGCCTCCTCCACGTCTCCTGATGTACTGGCCTGTCTCCTGGTAGCGCCTCCATGCTCTGGACACTACGCTGACAGACACAGCAAACCTTCTTGCCACAGCTCGCATTGATGTGCCATCCTGGATGAGCTGCACTACCTGAGCCACTTGTGTGGGTTGTAGACTCCGTCTCATGCTACCACTAGAGTGAAAGCACCGCCAGCATTCAAAAGTGACCAAAACATCAGCCAGGAAGCATAGGAACTGAGAAGTGGTCTGTGGTCACCCCTTGCAAAACCAGTCATTTATTGGGGGGTGTCTTGCTAATTGCCTATAATTTCCACCTGTTGTCTTTTCCATTTGCACAACAGCATGTGACATTTATTGTCAATCAGTGTTGCTTCCTAAGTGGACAGTTTGATTTCACAGAAGTGTGATTGACTTGGAGTTACATTGTGTTGTTTACGTGTTCCCTTTATTTTTTTGAGCAGTGTATTTGAGTGTACAGCCAGTAAACATTATTTGACCTCAGTGTCCCAGTGCTTATGAAGACCACTGTTGATGTACGTACTTCAAGTGTTCTGTATCTGGTATGGCTCATCATGGCTTCTGTTAATATTGAAGATGTGTTGTCCAACCTCCCCAAATCCTTTGGGATGTGTCAGTGGATCTGAAAGACTCCCTTACAAAGGTAAGCACATTCCTCTGTCCTCATCCAGTGTAC